CCCCAAAACCCCAAAACCCCAAAACCCCTCTGTGGCTATTCTTCGTTGAAAATATCTTAAAAATTTCATTAATCTTAGAACCCGGTATTGTTGAACTTATGTGCCATCTTGGTAGTACTATTGTACTTTGATTCAGTCAGGGAATTCATTGAGGAATTGTCATACTTAGGCTCTCTCATCGGATAAAATGCAGGACCTATCAGCAAGGGATTAGAAGATGTTCATAAAGTGCCCAAATTATCCGTTATTCAAGCATATCTTACCTCCTAGATCTGAAGGGACTGGGGTCCTGTAATACGAGCATATCCTCCCTAGCCCTTGTTTAGCTTTAATAAAGTCAGTAGGGACCTGCTCCTTTAGAGACGGAATGTGCTGACTATTCATTTTTGAATGGCTAATCAAAATCGGTTGAGAAAATGCTTTCAAAGGAGATTCTCCCTTCATTAGAATGATCTCACTTTCAGGAATATAAGGAGGGATCAACTCTAGTCGTTTCTTGCCACTCTTGTCACTTCTCTCAGTGAGTCCGTCAGAGCTAAGCCCGAGTTCAAAATTCTGTAGCTCTTTAATTTTCTTCGAAACATCAACTGGTCTATTCTTTTTTCTCTTATGTTTGAGTTTCTTGATCTTAAACCCTGCTATCTTTGGTGGTTTTGGGAGGGATTTCTTCGTAAAGCCTCCGCCGTAGCTATCTGGTTTATTTCTCTACCAAGATTAATTTTCAAGCTTACTCTCTTGAACGCTGTTCTGCCTTTTCTTGACCTGGAGTTTCTTGTCAACCAGGGTGTTCCTTATTTTGTTACATTTCTTTAGATGGAAAGATTTCTGACTGAACCGCTCAGTCAGGAACATCTTGTTCGAATGGGTTATGGTGGTATCAAAATCTTCAAAGGGATCGTAGTCATCACCCAGCTTGAAGTCAGACACCTTACTCTCGGTCCGGATGGACTGGATAGTCTTCATTGGGCTTATCGTGGCCTGTTTTTGGTAATTTTGCAACCGCTGTTTTCTACAAATTTGGGGTTAGCTTACAGTTTATTTGTCTTTAACAATTTTCTAAAGAGTTTAGGCAATGGTTTACCTCCTTGTTGTCAACTTTTATAAAGTATTTGGCTGAGTCTATGTTGATCTTGGGCTTTACAGAAAGATCTTCCCTCCTCTTTTCATCGATCATTTGCTTGTAAAAATAAGTTTTTGGATTCCCGAAGACATTTCTTTTCCTGCAGCATGAGATGTTCCCTGTACGACATCTTTCTGTTTTGGGTCTATCAAAATCTTTGAAGTTTTCATGTTTCCTAGTGTAAATTAGAGAAGAGATATTAAATCAGAAGATGCGTAAATTGGGATGGTTTGACAGATAATGTAGCTTTCTAGACCCATTTGAGAGAATTTATCTCTAAGTCCTCACCTGATCCGTGCTTTTTCTCCTTGTATCTTGCGTATTTTCAGAGTTTTGTCTCCAAAGACAAACAGATCATTGTTTTCTAAAAGTAAACCCTTTCACCTTATTTACTTTGAATGATGTTCTTATTTAAACAAATACTCTATATTGTCCTCATAGACCTCTCTAGAATGTACAACTACTCTGTTTGGGTTCTGTGAAGTCCTGATACGTTTTTCAGTGTTGCTTTTAAGGAGCATAGCTTGTTCAAATTCAATAAAATCACTAATAGCTTGTGAAATTACAGCTAGCTTCTTTTGAGAATAAACTTGCCAATCATTTAATGTATCTGTATCGGTTAGCTTTTTAAACAGCTTAGCAGCGTTGATCTTGACCACTTTTCCAGTCTTAGAGGTGCATTCAATCTTTGTAAACCTCGATGGGTTTTTCATCATGACTTCTTCAAGGCCAATGAAGTCACTTTCACCAGTGATTCACAGGCACTTTTGGGTAACTTTAGGCCTAACTGGGAGTTTCTCTAGATTTTCAGATTTCTTAGAATTGAATTTATTTTATCAACTTTTTATTCTCCTTCCAGAAATCATATCACAGGTCGTATATCTCATCGGAAGGAGTGAAGGGGAGATACTCCACGTGCCCTTTGGGCCCTGTGGGGTATGTATGCATCACTTTTGATGCTTCAAACGTGCCTTCCAGGGTATAAAAGATGTTGTGCACCTTATCTCCTTCGTCGAAAAGGACCTTGCCTCTGCAGATGTCTAGGACTTGCATGAAATCTATATGGTTAGTCTAATAGCGTACAAGTTATTTTCACTTTGAATGATTTTGAAAGGGATTTCAGATAAGGCATTGTATTGAGAATATCCAACTTCTTGTTAATATTCATCTCATGCACCCGCTTGAGAATTTCGTTAAACTGTTTCCTGTTCAATGTGGCAAAATGACAATTCTTTGTAGTGATAACTGACGCAGCTCTTGGCTGGTCCATTATCAAAGCTAGCTCTCCAAAGGAAGAGCCATTCTTGAGGGTGGTAACCTTATTTTAGGTACTTTATTTTATATGAAGGCTGGGAAGCTCTTTTTGGAGATGGCTGCTCAATGCCTGAAATATTCTTTCCAGAGGAGAATACACTGTTATAATCTTCCATTATTTGAAAAACAGTCGCTAGGGTAATTCTTTGATAGGCATTATTAGATAACTTCGGTATATTTGGAATATCGAACTCCTTCTCATCGTTGATTTCAAGTATAAGATCCCGTTTTTCATTTAACAGCTTGATAAATTCAAGATCTGAAAGCCTGGTAGTTACTGTAACCGGTATGAATACCTATGAGTAGTTATAAGCCCTTACCTCGACTTCACCCTTCATCAAGATGAAGAAGGAATCTCCAACCTCTCCGTACTTAATCACTGTCTCGTTAGGATTAGCATAATAATAGGATAAATTCTGGTATAATTGTCGAGGAATCTCGAGATTTCCTTCATCGATGTATTTATTTAATAAACTTAATATCACTCAACTGTCTTTCTAAGATTCTGACATCGAACAGGTTTCTGCGCTCAGGGGATTTCTTAAGGATCGTGCTGGGATCTTTGGAATTATGAACATTCTCCAGAATGAACTTGGTGGTGTACCACCTAAGCTGACGCCCAGCGTCACGCAGGATGTATGCCATCTTGGAAGTCTGAAGTAGCTTCATTTCATGTTTTCTCTGTATCTCCTTCTCTCGAGAAACTAGGATCTTTGATTCAATGTTTTGCAGCTAAATTTAGCTGGTAAGAGAGGCAGAAGGAGATCTTACTTTGGACTTTAAGGATTCGATTGTTTTGAAAACCTTCTCCTTCTTCAACTCTTCTTTGTCGGTCAGAGTGTTCTATGAGATAAAAATAACCCAAAAAAGAGGAAAGAGATTATCTGGAGTCATTAGTAAAGGTCAAGAGTATGACTCACCATGATAATTGTACGGAAGACATCGAGATTCGTGTCGCTCGCGTTGTCCATAATATTTTTCAATAATATAAAATATTCTTGGGGTTTTGGGGTTTTGGGGTTTTGGGGTTTTGGGG